CTGGCATCCCAGATACTATGTGCTTCGTGGCCCTCCTAGCCATCATCCTATTCTTTCCAGTGCCTAGCCACTGTGATTTCACATTCCTTATATAGTTAGGTTTGGAGAAAACAGGAAGACTGAGAGGAAACTTTTTTATTGTTAGAGATATAGACCATTACCAGTACCTCAGAAGCCTCTTTTATGCCGGCTCTCGGTTGTTACCCCTCCAAATGTGTCTTCTGTTCTGTTACTGTCAGGTGCGGGAGCTGAACTACTCCATATTCAGAGATTCACTAGAAGGACTCATAGCAAAGAGTCCTTACATTGTAGTAAGGCTACACATCTGGATCATAAGAGGAAAAGATACAGGCGTAGTCTGGAGGAGTCCAAGGGTAGGTTTTTCTTATACTCCCCCCTCCCAGGAGAGGTCACACAGACCCCACTGCCCCCAGAAATGAAAATGCAGCAAAGTTTAGAATAATCATGTCATTTCTTTCTCTCACTTTCTTGCTCTCTCACGAACTTATTGAGAGTGTGATTATATTGAACCTATAAATCAAGTTGAGGAGAATTGATATCTTTAGAATCTAGTATACCGATCCATGAACTTGTGTATTCATTTATTTAAATCTCCTTTAAAAAATTTTTTAGACGTCTTGCACATCTTTCACTAGGTTTATTCTTAGGTATTGGATACAGAAAGACACAGGTATAATTAATTGGGTGCTCTGCCTGATGCCCAGTCTCTTCTTGATCATTTGAGTGAGTATGAGTTGCTATTGGTATCAGTAAACTGTTTCAACTTAGTTCAGAGGTCATATGTACAGTAGGGTTCTATGTACAAGGTCTCCAGAGATTTAAAACTAAAAAACTTATGTGTGCAGTATGGCAAATTATTTATTTTATAGTGAGATAGCTTTTATACTTAATGTTTGGGTTCTGAAATATGAAATGTTTATAATCATGCACAATTGTGAGGTATCATTACTCTGTACAGTAATACTTGGTTGAATGAAATGCTGACAGTTGAGCTGTGGGGTTTTTTGAAAATCATAACATTTCACCATGATGTTACATTTTTAGAGTGAAGAAAATTAAATATCAGGGTGTATGTATGGTGGGGGTTGTCTACTGTCAAAACATAAGAAAAATATTCTATAATTAATTATAAAATGAGTATATTTTCATATTTGTGACACTGTTTATCCATGGCAGAACTTTTTTTTTTTTTAATTTTTGAGTCAGGGTCCCACTCTGTCATTCAGGCTGCAGTACAGTGGCACAATCACTGCTCACCGCAGCTTTGACCCCGTGGGCTTAGGCAGTCTTTCTGCCTCAGCCTCCTAAATAAATGGGACTATAGGCACACACCATCACGCCTGGCTGATTTTTTTATTTTTTGTAGAGATGACGTCTCACCATGCTGCCCAGCCTCAATCTGTCCTCTCACCTTGGCCTCCCATAGTACTGGGATTATAGGCATGAGTCACCATGCTGGGCCACCAGTTACTTCTTAACCTTGTCTGTAATTGAAGAGTTTGTACTAAATGATTTCTAAGGTCTTTTCCAACTTTTGTTATTAATCAAATTCTCCAAGTTATGTTCTTGGAGAGGGGAGCAGGAATTCATTGTTCATAATGTATATTTGCCTTAAGACTGAAGGCTGAAATTTAAATGTTGAGCTCATGTTTCATAATTGTATTTTGATTTTATTTATAGATGCCAGAAGTGGGTGGAGAATTGTAGGAGAGCAGACTTAGAAGATAAAACACCTGATCAACTAAATAAACATTATCGATTATGTGCCAAACACTTTGAGACCTCTATGATCTGTAGAACTGTAAGTAGTAGAACGGCACTCTCTTTTGTTCTCTCTCTCTCTCTCTCTGTCTTGCTCTCACTCTGTCTGGTTGGAAATGTAAATATCTATTAATGTTGGAAGGTATTCCTATATCCCCCTACTTTAATATGAAGACAAATTTGGAGCTGAATAGTGACTATTTTGTTCTTAAAAACCTGGGTTTTTTTTTTTTTACAACCCTGTACCAGATGCTCTGTTCCTACTTACCTGAGATAACCACTTTTAAATTTAGTCTTCAGAAAAATTTTAGATTATAGAAATATATATTTAAGGTTAAATTGGTGTTTTTATTTGGGGCAATTTTTCTAGAGCTTTTTTATGAGTGAAATCTTCATCTAGGAGTGGAGCTGTTTTCATGTATTTGTATGTACTGTTAGAACCAGCCCTTAGTTTTTATGTGCTAGATACATAGGAAGCAGATTGTACAGGTAATGTGAAAAAGCATTTTCATCAGAAACCTGCAGTTTCATGTCAAGATCTCCTGTTAACTCTGTGAGATTGGCCAAGTTACTTCCCCTCTCTGAGCCCTAGTCTCCAAGGAGATTAGACCAGATAATTTCCTGAGTTCTGAGAATTTTAACCTGTGATTCTATTGCTGTGATTTATAAAAGGCACAAATAAGGGCAGATCTGATTTAAGTGAACAGACTTGGAGCACTTTAATAACTATTAGGAAGACAGTTTTGTTAAATCATATTTTCTTGTTTAGGTGTAACTAATGTGTCATCTCAGATATTGGGATAGATATAAACTTGATTTGAAGGTACACTATATATTGTTATGCAGCAATTTATTTTGATATTTTTTTCAGATACATTTTGCAGAGGCATCAGAAAACTAAAGAATGATTGGGTTATTTTATTTCTCAAAATTAATTGAAGCAGATACTTGTGAAGTCATTGGGAGGTGAGCCAATTCCGGTTCAACAGTTTAATCACAAATATTTGAGGGATATTTTTGCCTTGCTTTGTTAAGAGGTTAAAAGTAATTAACCAAAATAAGAGGTTTCATATGTTTAAAAGGCAAACTACTTTTACATTCTTGACATTAAGTAAAAATATCCCAAATTATTATTTTAAATACATAAGCCATATGCTTTTTTTGCATTTTTATTTTAGTAATAAATAAGGTCTCTTAATTAGATAATTCCAACCAAATTATTGTGAGAAATTTAAAATATAGTTCATTCTTATATTCTTGTTTAATCAGAGAGTGGAACAGAAAGATGAGCTAGGTTTGCTTTTTTACATTTCAAAATGATTCTTCAGTCTTGAATAAACTAATCCAAATATGAGAAGATGATCATTCTATACACATAGAAGAAAATGTAGCTATTAAGAATTGAATTATCTGATATCTATATCCAAGTGTTTAAGAGTTTTGGCTTCATAAGTATGGCATTTAAGCTCTATCTCATCAGTAGCCAGGCATGATGGTATATGCCTATAGTCCCAGATGTTGAGGAGGCTGAAGCAGGAGGATCACTGGAGCCCAGGAGTTCAAGGCTGCAGTGAGCAGTGATTGTGCCACTGCACTCCAGTTTGGGTGACAGAGTGAGACTCCATCTTTAAAAAATAGAAAAGGAATCTCATTGGTAAAAATTAATGACTAGTTCAGCCATATGCTCATACCTTAATTCAGCAGCTAAAATTAAATCTTGTTACAGAGATACTTGATATCATGCATGTGAATTGAATATAGCCTTTTTTAGAATGTATACTTATTTATAAATAAGTATTTATGAAATGTCACATGTTTTTCATTTATATATTCTGTTTTCTGGTCTGTAATATCTGTGCTTTATTTACAAATAGAAATTAATGTGATTTGAGCTTAAAATTCATTAGAATGTTTTATTCCTCCTCTTCTTATTTAATGATTGGTAACGTATGAAGAGCTGACTGTTTTGTGTATTTGCTTATTTGGGGGATGCTTGCTCAGTGTGAAAGATGGGAAACTTTGGGTATAATACTTTTTGCTCCCTTCAGTGATTGTGTCCCTAATTGATTCAGACTTTGTGGTAGATTCAGGATCACTAGCCTAGCACTAGAAGCTGAGTGTCATGAGGAAGTCAGTTTCTTCTCTGTGTTTTCTATAATAGCAAGGGATCGAACTAGAAATACTGACTCTGAGTAGGAATTCTTCCCAAATGTGTTTAACAATTCTTTGGATAAAATCTAAGATAGCATGTTTAATTTAGATACATGTTGTCCTTTCATATCTTCCCAGCCTCCCTTCCTTGGGTGAAAAAATTTAGGAGTTATTTTTGCTTGGCATGTTCTTTGAACGTGCTTTAATATTTTGAAACAATCACTGCTTCCAAGAAGTTTGTTTAAATGAGTATGGTTTGCTTTATCAGTGTAAACTCAGGAAGAAATTAAAGGCACTGTTTATTGGACTAGCTGGGGAGAATGTAATAGCAGTATTTGTTATTCTCCCTCTTAGTAAACTTCTTGTCCCTACCCAGCCTCCTCAGGCCTGGCTGTGCAGGACTGTTACCATCTAAGTGTGCATCCAGCTTCTAGCCAGACTGGATTGGGAAGCAGGGCAGAGAATGATCATCCTACAATGATAAGATCATTTGAACTAGAAGAAAGTTTAGAAATACCTAGTTTATTGTTTGCAAAAATGTAACTGTATATCACATGTATTGTGAGAGATTACTTCAGGCGGCACATGAATTGATTTTTATTTTAGAAGTTTTGTAATAAGTATTAAAAACAAACTAGCCTATCAAATCATTATTCCTAGTTTTTACTATTTAAAACAATGTTAACTTAAAAAGTGAGTATATTATGTGAAAGTACACATGGTGATGTAACTAAAATGACAGACATTATAATCATTAGTGTGTGAATAATTTCTTTTTGGGAAATGTTGATCTAGTTCAATACCTGAATTTTATTTAGAAGAAGAAACTGGGTTTCAAAAAAGGGAAAGTACTTCAGCCAGAATCTCTTAGTGAGTCTCTGGTAGAATTTAGACTAGTTCCTTAGTCTCCTGGGACCTAATCTAATATTATTTTCACTGTGCCTTGTTGCTTCTCAGTAATATTAGCAAAAGTGTCGTAAACAGCAGGTAAAGGAGGGAAGCATTACTATAGAACATTCAAGAAGGAAGATTATCTTGTGCCTCCTATAGATTTGGTGGGCTCATGAAAGGACTGAACAGATAAAGTAACTGGGAGGCTTAAATAGACAGATATGCAAAACACAAATACATTTCATTTTTTATGCCTGTCATCAATTCATTTCCTTAATTTATAATAGATTGCCAGAAGGGCAAATGCAAATACAGTTAGAAAGAGTAAACTGGCCTAAACTGATATAAAATCCAGTAAGTCTCTATATACTTTGGAGCTGGAGTTGAAGGAGTATTGGGGAAGTCATTAACATAGAACTTTATGTATGTGTAATACGTTCTTAAGGACCATATCTGAATTAACACATATTTCTTTTTCAGAGTCCTTACAGGACAGTTCTTCGAGATAATGCAATACCAACAATATTTGATCTTACCAGTCATTTGAACAATCCACATAGTAGACACAGAAAACGAATAAAAGAGCTGGTATGTCTGTGTGCTTTCAGCTTTCCCACCTCCCCCATAATACTGTTAAATCAAATACAGATGCATTTATGTTCAAATTAATGCAAGTTACTCTCTATTTCAAAGGTAGTATAATGGGAGATGTTAAGATTATTATTAAAGCAGCCTGGATGTAAGATCATTAATTTTAATATTTAAATTGGAAAACTCTCCCTCAGATTCAGCCAGGTGATACTCTGATTTAGGCCAGAGTGTGCTGTTAATTATAGGCCACTAGCGCATTCCCTTCCTGGAGAAGAAAAAAAGCTATCTTTTCTATTGTAGTAAGGAAAATGGAGCTGAGATGTGTTTCCAGAATTTAGAACAAAGGGATAAAAGTTGTGATCTGGATAGTTTTGAAGAGAGAAGGATTCTGTCACTATTAAATACTGAAGGCTTTATAAAAAGCTTTTAAATCTCTATGTGGTATTATTTACACGTTTTTATATATTTTTTGATATCCTTCAGTTCTGAGAATCTACCTGTTTTTTGTTGACCTTAGGTGAATAAAATGAAATTGCTCAGACGCCTCAGCCCATGGCTCTCTGTCATCACCCCCTAGCAAGGCCCTTACTGTGCTTCCTTCTTCCTTCTTCACCCACCATTGCCATTCCTGTTCCTCCCCACTTACTGGTATTCATGCTAGTGTATTTAATATACATTATATCAATCCACCCTGCTGTGTGTTTTTTAAAGATAACCTTTATCTGGTTATCCTTATTTTCTTCTATGTTTACCTTTCTTTTTTAAAATTTTTTATTTCTTTAAAGACAGGACTTCCCTATGTTACCCAGGCTGAAGTGCAGTGGTGCAATCACCGTTCATTGCAACCTTGAACTCTGCTTCAGCCTTTCATGCAGCTGGGATTATAAGTGAGCGCCACCACACCTGGCTAACTAAAAAAAAATTTTTTGTAGAGATGGGGTTTCACTGTGTTGCCCAAGCTGGTCTTGAACTCCTGGCCTCAAGCAGTCTTCCTGCCTCGGCCTCCCAAAGTGCTGGGATTACAGGTATTAGCCACCATGCCTAGCCCTTCTATGTTTGCCTTTCATATTTGGATCTTTGCTCCGTTTGGAGTTAGTTTGTATGATGTCCAGTGGGATCTAACTTTATATTTCTCCTTATAGAGAACCTGTTTCCCAACAATTTATCCTTTCCTCCACTGGTATAAAATGCTGCCTCTCACATATACCAAGTTTACATATATGTAAGGCTGTTTCTGGGAGCTCTTTTCCATTCCACTGTATTATTTTTCTGCATCTGTATCATACTGTTGTATTACATATTACTTTGTGATTTTTCAAATAGGGTGATTGTTTAACTCTTCTTTTTCAAAACTGTCTTAGCTATTTATAGACATTTATTGCTCCATATGAATTTGAAAATTCTTTTGTCAAGTTCTCTTAGAAATTATTTTGGAATTTTCATTATAATTGCTTTGAATTGGCATCTTTACAATATTAATTAGTCCCATCCATGAACAGAAAAAAACTGACTGGGCACAGTGATTCACACCTGTAATTCCAGCACTTTGGGAGGCCGAGGGGGAGGATCACTTGAGTCCAATAGTTCAAAACCAGCCTAGGCAACACAGCAAGAACTATCTCTACAAGAAAATTTTATTTTAGTTAATTGGGCATAGTGGCATGCACTTGTAGTCTCAACTACTGGGTAGGCTGAGGCAAGAGGATTGCTGAGCTCAGGAGGTCAAGGCCACAAAAAGCCATGATTGCACCACTGAATTCTAACCTGGGCAACAGATTTCTCTCTCAAAACAACAAAGAAAAAAACAATAAGATACCTATCAAGTAATAGCAATCATTGACAAAACTAAATACTTGTTCTTTGGAAAGACTATTAAAATACTTTTAGGACCACAGAGAAGAAAATATTTGAATATTTAAGGCGGGGGCTTTTGTTATTTAAAGGCGAGCGTGTCTTGTCTTCTTCCCTGTTTCCAACAATTTTAAGGAATTTCTTTTTTCAAAAAATTAGTTCTGATAGCCTACTGAGTTTTCTCTGCAACTAATTGTGTCATCTACAAATAAGGAGAAATGTCTCTTCTTCCAATTCTTTCCTTAATTATTTCTATTGCCTATTTTACCGTTTAATCTAGATCCCTAGTACTATGTTAGACAGTTCCAGTAATGTCACAGCTGGCACACTTGCCTTGTTCCATAAATATACGTTTGCTGTTGGCATTTTAAAATAGTTTTTATCAACTGGGTATGGTGGCTCACACCTGTAATCCCAGCACTTTGGGAGGCGAAGGTAAGAGGATTACCTGAGCCCAGGGGTTCGAGACCAGTCTGGGCAATTTGGCGAGACCTTGTCTCTACAATAAATGAAGAAAAATTAGCTGGGCATGGTGGTGCAGGCCGGTAGTTCCAGTTACTTGGAAGACTGAAGCAGAAGGATCGCCTGAGCACAACAGGTTGAGGCTGTGGTGGCCGTGAGCATGCCACTGCTTTCCAACCTGGGTGACAGAGTGAGACTGTGACTCAAAAATAAAAATATAAATAAATAAATAAATTTTAAAATCAAGTTAAGGAGATTCCTTTCTAGTCCTGTAATCAGAATTTTTATCATAACTTACTGAACTTATCACATGCTTTCATTGCATCTATTAAGTAGAAATGTTTACCTTTTTTTATTATTTAATGCAATGAATAACATTAATGGATTTTCTGAGGATGATCCATCTTTGCATTTCTGTGATGAACCTAATTGATTGCAATATATCTATTTGCTTTTATACAACATTGGATTCAATTGGTCAATATTTTATTTAGGATTTTGCATTTACAAGCGTTGGCCTATAATTCTCTTTTCATGTACTCTTATGTAGTTACGATATCAAGGTTCTGTTAGCTTTATAAAGTAAGGTGGATACCCTTCCTTTTGTTTTTTCTTAATTTTCCTTATTTTATACAAGAAAAACTTATATGAGGTAGATATTATCTGCTCTTGAATATTAGGTAGAACTTGGTAAAACTATCAGAGGGCTCAGAGTGGGTAAAGGAAGATTTGATTGCCATTTCAATGTCTTTATTGGTTTTCTCTTCCTGTATTTTATGTTTCCAAAAGTTTATATAACTTCATGTAGGATTTTTGAATGTCATTTTAATAGTTTTTTCAAAAACCCAGTAATTAGTTTTGTCAGTGATGTTTTTGTGAGGTATGTACTATATTAATTTTTTTTCTTGATTAAGGGCGAATTTTTTGAATAGAGCAAAAATAATATATTATTTAATTTACTTTCGACCTGAGTCATTGTGACATTGGATTATTATAAATGTTTACTGACTAATAAAGAAAGTGTATCCCATGGCACTTGGGGGTCAAGAAGACACAAATCATCCTACTTCCCAATTTGTGTAAAATTGTGTATTTGTTTATTTAATTTTTGACTCTTTTTCTAGCTTCCTGAGTGTTTAGCTCATATTTATGTGTGTTCAAAGCCATAAATGTCTAAACCTAGTTTAGCTGTATCCCACGATTTTAGACATGTAGTGCTTTCATTGTTTAGATATCTTATATGGTTGTCTTTCTTTTTAGTGTCACAACTTGGGTTTATTTTTAAAAATCATCTGGTATTTTTTATTTCAAATGTTATTAAGTGATACACAGAGGATACATATATAGTCTATGTGATATTGATTCCTTCTTATTTTTCTGCATTCATTATTATTATTGAAGTCTGATGCTAGCCTGATTCTTGTTCCTTTTGTTAAGTGACCTGCTTTATCTCCCTCAAAACTTTTAGAATTTTTTTCTTCATATTTGACATTTTAAATTTTGCCAAACAATATATAGATGTGAGTTTTTTTCTTTTTTTTGTTTTTTGAGTTGGAGTCTCACTCTGTCGCCCAGACTGGAGTGCAGTGGCTGCTCCCGGTCACCGCAGCCTCGACCTGCTGGACTCCAGCGATCCTTCCACCTCAGCCTTCCAAATAGCCAGAATTACAGGCATGCGCTACCACACCCGGCTGATTTTTTCTTTTTGATTTATTGTAGAGATGAGGTCTCGCTGCCCAGGCGGGTCTCGAACCCGTGGGCTCAGGCAATCCACTCACCTCAGCCTCCCAAAGGCGCAGGATTACAGGCTGAGCCACCGAGCCCGGCTGAGTTTTTTTCTTATCCATTCTGTCATTTTACAATTGAGGAGTTGCATCTTAAGTTCTGAAAAGTCCTCAATTTTTATTTCTTCTTTCACTTTTCCCCTCTGTTTATTTGTTTTTCTGGGACTTCTCATAGGTGACTCTGACCCTTACACGACAGTTCTCCATATCAGTACTTTCTTCTTAGTGCTGTCATCCCTCGGTATCCACAGGGGATTGGTTCCAGGGCCTCCCTACAGATACCAAAATCCACAGATGCTCAAGTCCCTTAGATAAAACACTGTCATATTTGCATATAACTTAATGCACATCTTCCTGTATACTTTAAATCGTTTATAATACCTATCACAGTATAATGCTGTGTAAGTAGTTGTCATACTACGTTGTTTAGGGAATAATGACAGGAATAATGACAAGAAAAGTCTGTACATGTTGAATGTAGACACAGCCATCCATTTTTTTCCATATATTTTCAATCTGTGGTTTGTTGAATAATGGATATGGAGGGCCAACTGTAACATGTATTGAGTGAGGAGCTCAAATCACTTCCTGTCCTGTAGCTCTCATTTCCTGTACTGTGTCCCTCAGGAAACCTCAGATACCAATAGTAGGCACACTTTTTCAGATCTGCCATAATTATAACCCACAGAATGAGGAGGGATCCAGGCTGACCAGCCTGCTGATGTTTCTTGTTATCATCACCATGTCTGGTGGTTGGAAAGCAAATCAAGGGCACAGCTGGAGAGTTCTTCCTCCATCTAACCTTACTGGTGCCACTTGGCTCACTATGCTCTTTGCATCTGTTTCTCTTCCATGCTGGTACTCTTCCACCTTCTGTTTCCCAGGAATTTCTCATTGCTTTTGTGTTAGGTTCTGAGGTTCAGCAACCTCCCTTTTATGTGGCATCTCCAAGGTTAAATTGGGAGATGGGATGATTTGTATCCTCTTGAATTTGACCCCAAGTGCCATTGTGTACTTTCATGCCTTTTATTAGCCAGTAAACACTTGTAACCTAAAGTTACTATGATTTAGGTAGAAAGTAAGTCGAGTAAAATATTATTTTTGCTCTAAGACTTTATTATATGTCTGGACCATTAACAAATTATTCTGTTTTTCACATCAACTGTCTGTTTGAAGAATGTATTCCATATGAAGAATTTATGTTCTTGAAAGAGTTACATTTGGGTCAAATAGGCATTTATATTTGTGAGTCTAAGGTGATATATCAGAGGTCAGTTTTCTTGAAGATTTTTTTTCCTTGTCATTTAGAGTGAAGATGAAATCAGGACACTTAAACAGAAAAAAAGTAAGTGATAGTGTTAATGACTCAACTTCTGAATGCCTTTTAAAAAGGCCTTGACATGGTAAGAACAAATAAATATGTTGTATGTTGAAAACCTGCCTTGAGAGTGGATGTAAGATTGAATGTGCTAAGCTTTGTCCTGTGCCTGGAATTGCCCGTGAGACTAAAGTCTTCGTTCTGTTTGCCTTTATTGAGTGCCACCATGCCACACACTATGCCATGTGCAGGCCTCACAGAGGTGACTCCTCCCCTCTCCGGGGTAGGGGTGGCAGGCACATAGACAGGTATCCCAGTGGAGGGAAAGAAAGGCAGCAGTAAGGACAGGCACTGGATCTCTGTCCATCCAATTTGTGGTGCATGTAATTCTTGGTGAATGTTTAAGGAGTAAACATAGTGGGGGCACTTAGTGGTCACAGCAGTCTTTCTGCTGGTGCTGATGCCTGACTGCGTCACCAAAGGAGGAGGGCTAGTTGTTTTTGCTCTTGTCAGTAAGTACTGTTGCTCCTCCTCTTCCATTTCTTCCTCCTGTTGCTGTTATTATTATTAGCATAAACTTTTTTTTTTTTTTTAGTTGGAGTCTCACTCTATCACCCAAACTGGAGTGCAGTGGCTGCTCCCAGCCACCGCGGCCTCAACCTGCTGGGATCCGGCGATCCTTCTGCCTCAGCCTTCCAAGTAGCTAGAACTATAGGTGATTTTTGATTTATTGTAGAGATGAGGTCTCGCCAAGTTGCCCAGGTGGGTCTCGAACCTGCGGGCTCAGGCAATCCACTCACCTCAGCCTCCCAAAGTGCAGGATTACAGGCTGAGCCACCGAGCCCGGCTAGCATAACCTTTTATTGAGTGTCTACTGATGCTAATTGTTCTGAGTGCTTAACTTATATATTAATCTACTTTATTCTCACAATACCCTGAGATAAGTACTGTTATTTTTCCCTTTATTTATTTTTAAAAATTTTCTTTTGAGTCGGAGTCTAACTCTGTTGCCTGGGTTGGAGTGCAGTGGCACAATTGTGGCTCACTGAAGCCTCAACTTCCTGGGCTCAGGTGATTCTTCTGCCTCAGCCTCCCAAGTAGCTGGGACAACAGGTGTGTGTCACCACACCTGACCAATTTTTTGTAGAGGCGAGGGTGACCTCGAACTCCTGGGCTCAAGCAGTTGTCCTGCTTCGGCCTCCCAATGTACTGGGATTATAGGCATAAGCAATGGCACCTGGCCTATTTTCCCCCTTTAGAATAGTCAAGGGGACATGAGTTTAGGCAAAGAAAGGAGGTATTCTGTGGAAGTAGAGTCACATGAAGCAGAGTGCTAGACTTGGGGACTGTGCTCACTTCAGTGGTGCTGAGTTTCTGACAACCCAAGATGGTTAGAAAGTGAACCTAGAGTGGACCCTCAGGGACCACAGCTTATAGTGTTCTGGGCTGTTGGCAGTAGGGAACCATTGAGGGATTTGTAAGTAGGTGATACTGTGGTCCTGCTTTCTGTGTTACATAGAACCCTCTGTTGGAATAGAAAAGTAACACTGGAGGTTGGGGCCAGTTAGGCTGTCAGCAGACCAATTAAAAGTTGAAAAGTCTTGAATTAAGGCAATAGTGTAGAGAATGGAGAAAAGGGAATAGATTCAAGGAGCTCAAGAAACTTGTGTACCTGTAACTTGCATTTGGAAAGATGCTGGCTGCACATGGTAGCTCATTCCTATAATCCCAGCTCTTAGGGAGGCTAAGGCATGAGGATTGCTTGAGCCCAGGAGTTCAAGACTGTGGTGAGCCATAATCCTGCCACTGCACTCCAGCCTAGGTGACAGAGTGAAATGCCAACTCAAAAAAAAAAGATGCCCAAAAGGAAAGGGACTTACTTTTCACTTTATTCTCTTTGCTGTTTAATGAGCATCTTTTTGGAAAAATAAAAACAATAAAATTGGTACTTGTTGATTGGAAGTGAAATAATGGAGGAAAGAGGAAAGAAAGAATGAGGGAGCCATCCAGGCAGGCATACATCCAGAATAACCTTAATTTTGGGCTTGTGAAGCCTACCTAGTATAGAGCCGCTGCTCTGTAGTGTGGGTCATAGCGGCGTCAGCCAATTTCAGGAAGGGTGTGGGAAGGATGCTCTCTGCACTTGCTGGACCCTGGCGAAGTTCTGAAGGGCCTTGGGTGCCTGGAAGCATTGCTTTCACAGGCTCCAGTCAGACCAGATTTCCCTTGTACTTGGACAGCCTGTTTTTTCCTCTCCACTGTAGTGTTTTAGCGGAGTACTTCCTGCCATGGGAAGGCCTGCCCTATCGTGTCTTCCTTGTTTACCCTTGTCAGTATCAAGTGCAACTTCTTTGTTCAAACATCCTCCCCCACCATGAGACTGTACAACTCTTGGTGGCCCTCTCATAGTCTTATAAGAACTAGGTTCTGGCTGGGTGCGGTGGCTCAAGCCTGTAATCCCAGCACTGAGGGAGGCTGATGTGAGGATTGCCTGAGGTCACAGTTTTGAGACCAGCCTGGGCAACTTCATGAGACCTCATCTCTACAATTTAAAAAAAAAAAAAAAAAAAAACTAGCCAGGCATGGTAGCGCACGCCTGTAGTTCCGGCTTCTTGGAAGGCTGAGGTGGAAGGATCGCCGGAGCCCAACAGGTCGAGGCTGCAGTGGCCGGGAGTGGCCACTGCACTCTAGTCTGAGTGACAGAGCGAGACTCCAACTCAAAAAGAAAAGAAAAGAACTAGGTTTTAACTGTAATTCCTCAGATCTGACTTTTCCTGGGGATACCACTGACCTATATGACTATAGTCGGACTTTTAACCTGTTGGGCCTCTGTTTTCCTATCCACATATGAAGAGATTAGGCTAAGATTTCTGATATTCTAATATCAGCCCGAAGAATTGCATTAACCTACTTTATATTATATTGGTTTCTATAGTTGTCTCACCTCCTAGATAAAAGTGTGGCTTAGTGGTTTGATAGAAACAGAAATTAGCATGGGACCTGGATCCAGGCAACCTTGGATTTCAGTTTTACATCTATCCTCCTGTGTCTGTGATCCTGGGTAAGTTACTTAGTGTCCTCATTTGTCAAGTGCAATTGATACTTACCTGAAGACAGAGTAATGTGATGCATATAATGCTAAGCACAGTACCTTAGTGACTATTAGTTCTCTCCCCCTTTCTCTTTCTGAGGGCATGGGCTGTCATCATTACTCTGTATAATATGTAAAATACCTTGCTGTTAAGTTTATTAAAAAATTGTTCCTATCTTACAATAGCATTTACATCTAGGATTAAAATATATCTATTGATAATGTTTGTCTCTCCCACTAGAATGTGTCTTATTTTAATCTCTGTATCCTGGTCTGTGGTCCAGCTTGTGCCCTGTGAATGTTGAATGAATGAGTTTGTGGATTTTAAATATTTCACAAAAGATGTGATGTAATATATTTTTGTTTTGTATGGTTCCTCATGAACCTGTTTGTAAAATTAATTCTTTGTTTTCCAGTTGATGAAACTTGCGAACAGGAACAAAAACATAAAGAAACCAACAACAGCAATGCTCAGACACCTGGTGCCGAAGGAGGGGGTGAGGAGCAGGACGAAGACGTCTTACCGCTAAGCCTGGAAGAGAAGGAAAACAAGGAATACCTGAAGTCTCTGTTTGAAATCCTGATTCTTATGGGAAAGCAAAACATCCCTCTGGATGGACATGAGGCCGATGAAATCCCAGAAGGTCTCTTCACCCCTGACAACTTTCAAGCGCTACTAGAGTGCCGGATAAATTCTGGGGAAGAGGTCCTGAGGAAGCGCTTTGAGGCAACAGCGGTGAACACGTTGTTCTGTTCAAAAACACAGCAGAAGCAGATGCTGGAGATCTGTGAGAGCTGCATTCGGGAGGAGACTCTCAGGGAGGTGAGGGACTCGCACTTCTTCTCCATCATCACTGACGATGTGGTGGACATAGCGGGGGAGGAGCACCTGCCTGTGTTGGTGAGGTTTGTCGATGAGTCTCATAACCTGAGAGAGGAATTTGTGGGCTTCCTGCCTTATGAAGCTGATGCAGAGATTCTGGCTGTGAAATTTCACACAATGATAACTGAGAAGTGGGGGCTGAATATGGAATATTGTCGTGGTCAGGCTTACATCGTATCCAGTGGGTTTTCTTCCAAAATGAAAGTTGTTGCTTCTAGACTTTTAGAGAAATATCCCCAAGCTATCTACACGCTCTGCTCTTCCTGTGCCTTAAATATGTGGTTGGCAAAATCAGTGCCTGTTATGGGAGTATCTGTTGCATTGGGAACAATTGAGGAAGTTTGTTCTTTTTTCCATCGATCACCACAACTACTTTTAGAACTTGACAATGTAATTTCTGTTCTTTTTCAGAACAGTGAAGAAAGGGGTAAAGAACTGAAGGAAATTTGTCATTCACAGTGGACAGGCAGACATGATGCTTTTGAAATTTTAGTGGACCTATTGCAAGCACTTGTTTTATGTTTAGATGGTATAAATAGTGACACAAGTATTAGATGGAATAACTGTATAGCTGGCAGAGCATTTGTACTCTGCAGTGCAGTCACAGATTTTGATTTCATTGTTACTATTGTTGTTCTTAAAAATGTCCTATCGTTTACAAGAGCCTTTGGAAAAAATCTCCAGGGGCAAACTTCTGATGTCTTCTTTGCAGCCAGTAGCTTGACGGCAGTACTACATTCACTCAATGAAGTGATGGAAAATATTGAAGTTTATCATGAGTTTTGGTTTGAAGAAGCCACAAATTTGGCAACCAAACTTGATATTCAGATGAAACTCCCCGGGAAATTCCGTAGAGCTCAGCAAGGCAACTTGGAATCTCAACTAACTTCTGAGAGTTACTATAAAGAAACCCTAAGTGTTCCAACAGTGGAGCATATTATTCAGGAACTTAAAGATATATTCTCAGAACAGCACCTCAAAGCTCTTAAGTGCTTATCTCTGGTACCCTCAGTCATGGGACAACTCAAGTTCAATACGTCGGAGGAACACCATGCTGACATGTATAGAAGTGACTTACCCAATCCCGACACCCTCTCAGCTGAGCTTCATTGTTGGAGAATCAAGTGGAAACACAGAGGGAAAGATATTGAGCTTCCATCCACCATCTATGAAGCCCTTCACCTGCCTGACATCAAGTTTTTTCCTAATGTGTACGCATTGCTGAAGGTCCTATGTATTCTTCCTGTGATGAAGGTTGAGAATGAGCGCCATGAAAATGGACGAAAGCGTCTCAAAGCATACTTGAGGAACACTTTAACAGATCAAAGGTCAAGTAACTTGGCTTTACTTAACATAAATTTTGATATAAAACATGATCTGGATTTGATGGTGGACACATATATCAAACTCTATACAACTAAGTCAGAGCTTCCTACAGATAATTCAGAAACCATTGAAAATACCTAAAAGACCTTAGATAGGCTTTCTGTTATATTTGCTATTTGGAAGAAATCTGTAAGATCACTGTATATCTTTGCCTATAGGCTTCCATTGAATACATTAGCCATTGATAATCTACCTATTTAAGTGGCCCAGTTGAACTCTCGCACTTTGAAGACCTATCTGTTCTTCCAGAAGAGAACGTTGAAAGTGCCACGTTTTATTTACTTCTGTGTGATCTCTGCTAGTGGCACTCTGGAGTTGTTTTTATCATTTTAGACATAACATTTACTATCACTGTGGATCTGCTTGGGTGTTGAGTTATCAATTCTTTGAAGAAATGTATTTTGAGGAAGTGTGAGAGGAAGGAATACATTTCATGAAATGTTACAATGAAGCCCTTGATTTATCTTTGACTAGTAGGAGTTTTAAGTATGTTGTTAAAAATCTGTATCGGGCAGTTAAATTAACAGAGAGAGGCTTATGACCTCACCAAACAGGATTTCAATGTGTTTTTGTCTTTATCAAATGAACTTAGAGGAACAAGTTACAGTTGCAGTGTGAATGGAAGAGCCTGCAGTTCTATGTCTGGTTGTTGCTGTTTACATTCCTTTGTTTAACCTACATCTTCATAAGCTTATAGCAGGTATACGTTGAAAACTTCTGTTCATGGGTGAAACAGAATCAGAGGCCATGGATACTGACAACTGACTTGTCTGTCTTTTCTTTTTCCATGACTATATCTACTGCCTCATCTTGATTTATAAGCAAAACCTGGAAAACCTACAAAAATAAGTGTTTTGTGGTTTATCTAGAAATAATATGGGAAATATTACTGTTATTTTTGGTGAAGAAAATCAATTTTGTATAGTTTATTTCAATCTAAATAAAATGTGAATTTTGTTTAAAGTGTATGTACATTATTTTTGGTGGGCTCAAAACATTCTCTTACAATATTTGATAATCAGCTTCACAGTTCAAGATGAGTCTTTTTGTACCCACTTGGGTTCTAGAAAAGATATTTTAATTAAGAAATTACTAAATGTAAGGCTTACTCAACTGATTTTTTAAAATATTATGTACTTTTATGGGCCCTGATATAAATTATTAGGGTTTACGTTATTGTTGCTGGCTAAAATGTTCGTGAATTGTAAAATGTTGGGGTAAGTTTAGAGTTTTTGAGCAGAAAGCGTAGTGCCACGAGTTCAGCAGATGTGTCAAATTAAGACACATTATGCATGCAGGTTATAAAAAAGGCAAAAGGTTATCTTACAGTTGCTCAAGTTCATGATGGCAGAATGACAGCGAAGAAGACACAGAGCCAGTGGTTTTAGTACTTTCAACCAGTTCCCAGGGCACGTAAGAGTGTTGTGACCTTGGCAGATCACTTCTCCTGGGCCTGTTTCCTCAACCATCAAACCCACCGTGAGCTTGTGCTATGAGGGTTAGGTAGTTTATCATCAGTGACCTGTTTGTGCTTAACAGCATCCCAAAAGTTATGGCATAAGGAAACAGCAATTTCTCACAGTTTTGTGGATTGGTTGAGTAGTTATTTTGCTAGTCTCATCTGCGTTTTCTGCCTTCAGCTTACAGGGGCCTGGGGGCAGGGTGTGATGGCTAGGCTCTCCATGTGGTAAAGCTTTTTGTCTTAGGTTTATGGAATAGTGGTCTCAGTACCAAGAGCACAAAGGCAGTAGCTTCAGTGACTGGGCCAAAGAACTTAGAACATCACTTTTGCCACATTCTTTTGGTCAAAGCAAGTCACTTGGCCAGCCTAGATTCAAAAGATGAGGAAATAGACTTCTTGGTGGGAGGTGCTGCAAAATATGGCCCCATTTTCAGTCTACCACAGTAACGTATCCAGAAGCATTCATTTAGCAAGCATTAGTTGAATTTTTTTGTTTGTTTTTTGAGTGAGAATCTCACTCCGTCGCCCAGGCTGGAGTGCAGTGGCACACTCACAGCCACCCCAGCATCGACTTGCTGCGCTCTGGTGATCCTTCCAGTTCAGCCTTCCGAGTAGCTGGAACTACAGGTGCACGCTGCCACACTAATTTTTGATTTATTGTAGAGACGAGGTCTCGCCAAGTTGCCCAGACTGGTCTCGAACCCGTGGGCGCAGGCAGTCCACTCGCCTCGGCCTCCCAAAGTGCTGGGATTACAGGCTGAGTCACCGAGTCTGGCCTAGTTGAGCTTTTAAGATGCCCATCATTTGTTCATGTTTTTTTAGACTATGTATATTGCCTAATTTGGGAATCTTTTGAAAGCTTAAAACCCTAATTTATTAAAAAGCCTTTTCCCAAACTCTGATCTTGGATGGTAGGTTGAGTCTGTGGTAGCCTCACAGATGAAACACTGTCTTTTGTAAGAGTAGATAGAAAGTGGTAGGTGTACCGTGTATTCCAAATACAAGTTGAATGCTTGCCATGTGCCAGGCTTCTGACTGGTAGACTCCAGAGCTTACAGCCTAGAGTTGGCCCTCAGGACTACAGTTGTGACTACACACACACACCCCTTCATAGACTTCAGTAAATCAGATTCACTGAAATTAAAGAAAAGGAAAATAGAGTATCCATGAAAATCCTATTTTAAAAAGTAAGCTCTATATCTAAACAGTTTGTAAAATGTACTAGGAAATACATGACTGCATATCAAGAGGAACTTTTGCATTTGCTATAACCTTATTTTTGGAAAAAAAAAAAAAAGGCAGTTGAAGCCTAGTGTAGGGTGTGTTGCCTATAAAATAAATGGGAGCAAATGCTTTAGTAATAATTTGATGTAATTTTCATGTGATTCTTAGAATAACTCCTACGAGGTAAGTAGTATTTGGTTGAGTTGAGTCTGCCTCTTTTAGTGTTATTCATTAAACTACAGGAAAATTGTTCTTGCAATGTCTATTAATATTCATACAGTGCTTTAGAACTTTGAAAGCACCTTGAATGATCTTGTTCAGGTGCTCAGAAAAACTCAGGCAGGTATTATCCCCCATTTTTCAGTTGAGAAATCAAGCTCACAGATAAATTAGTTGCCCCAGTTATACAGCAAATAAGTGTCAAGAGCCAGGCACTTGAGTCCTTCAGTATTAAAATTGATTGTGAAAGCCATTCTTATGTTTGTAAAAGAAATATTTGCTTTAGGAATAGGCTCCTTTTATGTTCTTGTTTTATCCATTGCCAACTTGCAGAACGGCATTTCTAAAATGCATTCATTTAGTCGACATGGGTTTCTTGCAAAAAAAAAAGGGGGGGGGAAATGGAGTCTGAAACTTCTGAGACTTAACAAACTGGGTATAGAAATGCTGCTACCTTTGTTTGGCTGCCAAGACACGACCACAAAGGACGGTAGATCCAGGTCTGTTTATTTCATAAGAGTGGATGCAGCTGTCTTGCTGTAACCAATTGCTCCTCTGTAGCCAGCTTTTTGCGGCCAGAAAAAGCAAAGTAATTTTTAGTACAGATTAGCATAAAAATATCCACTAGATCAGTTTCAGGAAGCAATTACTAGCTTAGAAACAACAATAAGTGTGATCTATAGGTTGGCTAAAGTAGCAGTTAATTTCCAGGCCCCTTTTTATGCCCCTTATTTCTCACTGTGAATACTATATAAATAGAACACGCTACCTGCCACTGTATTTGGTTTCATAAATTATTTGGACAGGGTGAACAACAGACTTCAAAACTAAGTAGAAGTAGTAAATCTGCCCCCTTTTTAATGAGTTTGAATTTACAGTAGTAGTTTAGACATCTGGAAGTTTAAAGTCTTAATTCATTCCAAATGTTCAACAAGGATATACTGCAAAGAGGATATTGTAATTGGGGGATCAAGAAAACTACTGTTGACTCCAAGTCCTTTCTGCTTTTCTCTACATACATTAATCACATAAAACTTGAGAGGTTGACAGTTCAAAAGGAGAAGAGATGACCCCAGATGTTCAAGTTGGCATGCTGGTATGAGAGTGACTTTTAAGGAGTATAGTTAGAACAGGGGTGAGGTTCAGGTGCTGTTAGTTAACACATCTAGAATATAGCCATTTTGGAGGAGTCGAAATTTTTGACTTCTAAGTTGTAATTTTGATTAATGCATCTTGTAATCCAAGAATCTAGTCTGCATCCAGCACCTAGCATGAGACAAAGGATTCCTTTAGTGCACACTTATTAAGTTCCCACTGGATGCTTGCTAGGTGTTAGCTGAATTTTTTTTACACCAAGACAGGGTTGTGGCAGCAGGAGAAGTCATAACTGTCTACAGTAGCTGACGGTGTGCTTAATATGTGCCAGCTGTGTGCAAGAGCCTTTTCCCTGTACCATCTCATTTACATTCCTCCACCCATGAAGAAGGTGGAAACTTAAGAATCAGAAGGTCACACAGCAAGTGAAAGGTAGAACCAGGCTTCCAACATGATGTAAAGATTTGCAAGTCTAGTTTAGTCTCATATTTGCTTTTCATTCTTTGTTTGTTTTTGAGTCAGAGTCCCGCTGTGTCACCCAGGTTGGAGTACAGTGGTATGCTCAAGGCTATTGCAGCCTCGGTCTGCTGGGCTCAGGTGATCCTTCTGTCTCAGCCTCCCGAGTAGCTGGGACTACAGGCATCCTGCCATGATGCCCGGCTAATTTTTTTTTAAATTACTTATTGTAGAGACAAGTCTTCACCAAGTTGCCCAGGTTGATCTCAAACCCCTGGGCGCAGGCAGTCCGCTAATCTCTACCTTCCAAAGTGTGGGGATTACATGCGTGAGCCACTGCATTCCAGTTTTTAATATTTGATTGAACTCCTGTGTCCCTTAGTCTTTCAGCATCCAGCGTGAAGCCACCTGTCATGGATACAAAGGTGAATGAAATAGAGCCCATTCAGTGAACACACAGGTGGACGAAGTTGAGCCCAGGTCCTCAGTGAGCTGAGTCTCGTGGCAGGGACATGCCAGCTGGAGATGGCCAGGAGCAGAGCTAAAGGTGGGGAACCACACAGTTGATCCTAACTAGGGCACTTTGAGAGTGTAAGAGGCACTATTAGTTGTTATGTCAGAATCACAGATACAACCGGGGCTATCCAGGAACCCCAGGACTCTTGTTTGCCATAGCTAGAGGCAAACGGGTGTGGGGGCGCAGGAGAGAGCCCTGACGAGAGGTGGTGTCCCCAGTCAACACAGAGCAGCATGTGCGGCATGCACCCTCGCAGACCTCGACCTGGTGTTGGGTCCTGTGGGACTTCCCCATCCCTGACGTCTGGGTCAGGTAGCCCTTTCGTGTGCTCCCAGATTTGCCTAGCTCTTCTGCTGGATGTCAGCTGCGTGAGAACCCGTGTGGCTCTGACGTGCCTCCCACTTCGCAGCTCAGAGAAGTAGACGGCATTGAACAGGGGAGGTCAATGAGGCAGGCGACAGCCTTCGCAGAAACCTATAAAAATAGCACTATTTGTTTCCTCATATATTACCTCATTAAATTAATGAGTGGTGATGGCATATAAAACCAAGCCAAATTTGCCACCACTGTTGCCAGTATAGGTCCAGTTGGAATGGGTTGGAAGCCACTGAAAAATTAGTATTTGCTAAGAGGAGGTGGACCTCTGAAAATGGTGTGTATTGTGGGGCTTCACGACCCTAAGAGTTTTTAAAAGTTAGTCTCTCACTTCCTGCTGGAGGAAAACGTGGCTGCTGCCAGGCACAGTGGCTCATGCCTGTAATCCTGGCCCTTTGGGAGGCGGAGGCAAGAGGATTGCCTGAGCCCAAGGGTTCAAGACCAGCCTGGGCAACATGGCCAGACCTTGTCTCTACAATAAATCAAAAAATTAGTTGGGCATGGTGGCGCACGCCTGTAGTTCCAGCTACTTGGAAGGCTGAAGTGAAAGGGTTGCCTGAACCCAGCAGGTGAGAGAACGAGACTCCGATTCAAATAAATAATTAATTAAATAAA